TTTTTAGGCGGTGGGAGGAAACCAGGGAACCCGGGGGAAACCCACGTGAGCACGGGGAGAAGTGGAAACTCCACACAGAAATGTCTGCTAGTTTGGTAAAGCCAGAAACCAGTGACATTCTTGCTGTGAGGCGACAGTGCTACGCACTGGGCCACCGTGTCACCCGTCTAAGAAGGAGGAGTAAGGGAGGAAGGGGGGACTCTTCGAGACGAAGATAGCAGTGGAATGAAACCCAGGGTATTTATAGTGAGTTAAGGAATCGTCTGATAGGATCATCAGTTATTAGCTAAAGTTGGAACAGCTGTGAACAATCAAAAGCACGTGATCCTCTCGAAATTGGTTTATAAGTAAACTTCACGTCTGGAACACCTCCCTAGGTAGGCGTCCAGGAGGCATCCGAAACAAATGCCTGAGCCACCTCAGCTGACGTCTCTCGATGTGGAGGAGCAGCAGCTTTACTCTGAGCTCCTCCCGGTCACAGAGCTCCTCACCCTAAGCGTGCGCCCTGCCACCCTGCCAAGGAAACTTATTTCGGCTGATTGTATCCGAGATCTTGTCCTTTCGGTCATGACCCACAGCTAATGACCACAGGTGAGAGTAGAAACATTGATTGACCGGTAAATCGAGAGCTTTGCCTTTTGGCTCAGCTCCTTTACCACAACAGACCAGTAGATCAACCACATTACTGCTGCCGCTGCACCAATCCGCCAGTGAATCTCACGTTCCTATACTTGAACTTCTCCACCTGGGACAAGGACTTTCTTTCAACCTGGAGAGCATAACAGCTCCCCTTCAGATATCAAGAGTGACCCAGATTGGTAATATTATACAGATGTTAGTTTTGATTAGTCATATGTGCTCTTGCTGAATGAATGGATGGATGATCTCCTCACCCAACAGTAATGTCGAATATGTTGGAGCCCACGGAGCTGGACACCGCCATGTCCCCCAGACCCTTGCGGGCCACGATAACACTGGTGATCAGGTCAGGGATTGAGGTTCCAGCTGCTAGAATGGTCAATCCCATGATCTCCTCGGTGATGCCGATCGTTTCTCCAACCTGCACAACACAAACACCAGACTGATGAAGAACAAAGCCTCAACTCACATTCAGAGTCAACTTCAGCTCATACAGGGGTTCATACGGTCCTGGAAGTCCTGGAGAAGTCCTGGAATTTTGATGAGGTATTTTACATTTCTGGAAACGTTTTGGAAATACAAATGAACCCAAAGTGTTTAGGAAAAGTGATGGGAATTTGTTTAGGAGATATCTTGAGATGATATTGAGTACATTTTAAATACTATAGTGCGCTTCTCTTTACGTGACGTGTGTGGGATGAAGCAACTCATGTTCATCGAAATTCAAGCTACATTTTGAGTTTGGTGTTCAGAAACAATCTCTAATTAAAAGGGTAAGAGACTGTGGGTGCTAAAGGCTCATTTGTAATATTCGTATGAGTCTGAATGAAACGCAAGCCTACATTTCCACTATATTTGAACACAGACAGGAAAAACTATTTTACAGACATGGACATAAACAAACTACATACACTACCTGACAAAAGTCTTGTGGCCTATCCAAGTTTTAGAAGCAACAAATATCGACTTCAAGTGGATGATTTGGTATCAGAAGCTTTAAAGGTGAAGGCCTCTAGATTTTGCTGATTTGAGCTCAATAAATCTGATCATGTCTTGATGTTGACTGATTTGATGAGGACAGTGCGCTCTGACTCTGCTCAGACTAAAGTCTCATCACTGAACAGAAATAATGTCCAGTATAGAAGATAAAGTCCTGCTTTAGTGGAGACAGAATGAATATTGTGTCTGACTCCATCATGAGCTTGGAGGACTGCATCCATACATCTCTGACATGACTCACATCACTGATTAATAAAGTCATCTGGAATGAAGAAGAAAGCCTTCAGCAGGATCCCAGAGTTCATCAAGAGTCTGTGTGTTTATCTTAAACACCTCCTCCTTCATCAGCTCAATCATGTTCATGTCTGGTGATTGGGCTGGCCAATCCTGGAGCACTCTCTGCTTTCAGGAGCTTTGATGTGGAGGCTGAAGTATGAGCAGGAGCGCTGTCCTGCTGGAGAATTGTCCCTCTCCTGTGGTTTGTAATGTAATGGGCAGCACACATGTCTTGATACCTCAGGCTGTTGATGTTGCAGATCTCTCCATACTGAATGAACCCCAAACCATGATTTATCCTTCACCAAACTTGACTGATTTCTTAGAGAATCTTGGTCCATGGGAGTTCCAGTAGGTCTTCTGCAGTATTGGTGATGATTGGGATGCAGATCAGTCAGAGAAATCCACCTTCTGACACTTTACCAAATGATCAACTACTGTAGAAGTCCAGTTATTATATGTTGATCTTACAACTGGGATCCACTACAAGACATTTGTCAGGTAGTGTAGATTGTCACATTTTGTTTATATGCTGTAATAAATTTGGTTTACCGTGTGTACATAGACATGACATGAAACATTAGGTCATGAATAATAACCTTGAGTTTTGGGAAAGTCCTGCAATTTTTGTAGTAAAAATGTGTATGAACCTGTACTGTGTTATTAGTACCCATATTTTTTTTTTTTGCAGCCGATGTTTGCCATTTGACACAAGCATCTGCTTAATGTAAAAATAACAGCAGATGTTTTACCTGATGAGCCCACCACACCATCAAGTAGGAGAATCCTGCGATCCAGCAAATCGCTCCCAGGAACGTGACGGGAAAAAACTTCTTAGACGTCTAAAGGGAGAAAAAGTCGACGAGGGTTACATCTGGTTATAATAGAATATATATAATCCCTAGTTAAAATAAAAGGGCACTCACGGGCTTCCGGACGTCCGGCAGTGTGATCCACAGAGGGAAGACGATGGGAAGGATGAAGAGATAGGTGAAACGCTTTTGGCAGCTCTCGGGCCAGGACAAGCTGAGCGGCTGATCGTCTTCTTCATCCTCCTCAGCCTGAAATGAGAATATTATTCAGTTATCTCCAGCAGACGCAATGCACCGGGTTTCTGTTTCTCCAATTAAAGGGCACCTATGAAGCAAAATCTACTTTAGGAAGCTGTTTGGACAGAAGTGTGTGTCCACAGTCATACTGGACTGATATAAACACTGAAGTCTCTTTTTTTTAATTTCTCGACATTAAGATAGGATCTTTACTAGTGTTGGGCGATGCTGACCAATTTGGCATTGTACGATGTCTACTGTGAAGCATCGCGATGGACGAAGGCATTGTCGTCGTAGGCGGCGGTGAATTAATTATTTATGAATAATTAATTCATTCATAGCCTACCGTTTCAACTACCTGACCCGCACCAAATCATGATGACAACCTGTTAATCACTTTTTCTGCGGGACTCTCGAGACTCTGGCATGAATAGGAGTGATCTGTGTCGTTATAATGGCATTGACAAACTTAGTTAGGTATTTGAAGTCAGATTAAAGTGAAGAGTTCCCTAAATAACAATACACAAGTTTTCTAGTGAACGTGACGTGTTGATGAATAAAAATGGAATATTCCACTTCCTTACAACACGACTGTGACCTTCCCTCAGGTAAAAATAGCAGCTTGTTGAGAGTATTTTGAGATTTGTAATGTCACCTTCAGCCAGAGCATGTGTGTGTGTGTGTGTGTGTGTGATTGATCATTCCTGTGTGTGTGTGTGTGTGTGTGCATGTGTGCGTGTGTGTGTGTGTGTGTCGTGGGACGGCATCCTGCAGGCACAGAATAATTATGTGTCTGGTTCTGGTGAAACTCCAGCAGGTGTGAAGAAATCCTGACAGACAGAAAACCAAACACTCAAGAAATAGTTTCAACAGGACAACGAGGAAAAACCGGAGGAGATCACGAGCACCACTTAGATGAAGAATAACATGAAGCACAGATGAAGGAAACACTTGGTTTTACCTACAATACAGAAACCCTAACCAAAAGGTTCAATATGGCAAAAGTGCTTCATTCCTTGTGTAAAACGCTTAATAGCATATAAGAAATCAAGTACTTTTGCTGATTTGCTGACAAATCTTGACACATACACTCGCCGGCCACTTTATTAGGTACACCTTACTAATACCGGGTTGGACCCTCTTTTGCCTTCAGAACTGCCTTAATCCTTCATGACAGAGATTCAACAAGCTACTGGAAATATTCCTCAGAGATTTTGCTCCATATTGACATGATAGCATCACACAGTTGCTGCAGATTTGTCGGCTGCACATCCATGATGCCAATCTCCCGTTCCACCACATCCCAAAGCTGCTCTATTGGATTGAGCTCTGGTGACTGTGGAGGCCATTTGAGTACAGTGAACTCATCGTCATGTTCAGCAGTCTGAGATGATTGAGCTTTATGACATGCTGCGTTATCCTGCTGCCATCAGAAGATGGAGACACTGTTGTGATATATCTGACTGTAAAAGATACACTTGAGTCGGAGCGTCCGTATTAAGCAACAGCTTTACTTTCTGCTTTCAACCGAAACTGCCAGAACTATATCAACTACTTCCGTACTACGGAGTCCCTATTGTTTCAAATACAAAAATGCAAACATCAATATATCACATTACCCCCCTTTTTAAACACAGTACATTTACTGTTACCTTCACATAAAAAAAAAACTGCACATGCAACAACATTACTATCAAAACTAACAGTAGCTGTTAAATTCTTCTTGCATTAACACAACAGCAGAGAGAAAAAAAAAAAAAAAATACTAAACCTAGTATATTACGAGACCATTGCAAATTTTAAACTTGGTTGCATTTGCACAGTTGTAATTCCTAAGCATTATGGGTCATAGCGTTTTGGTGTCTTTCTAATTCTAGATGAGCGACGTAGACCCTGTGCCATGCTTGTATTTCCTACACTGTCCTTTTCAGAAGTCTCTGAAATGACCGGTTCCTCCTCTTCTGATGCACAGGGTCTAACGGAAGTTTCAGTCCCAGTCTCAGAGCAGTCCATCTGTTCAACAGGATCATCCACTACAACCCGTGGTCTTAACTGATCACAATGTCTCCTGAAAGTGCCATCTGTGTCTTGTCCCTGAACGTTATAAGACACAGGACCGGTTTGCTTTACTATCACTCCAGGAACCCATTTGTTCCCTTTTCCTGTGGTATTACGAAGGTAAACCGCATCCTTCTCAGAGAATGATCTCTCCACAGACCTTTTGTCATGATGGAACTTTTGTAGGTACTGTTTCCTGCGAACAGCAACAGTGACATCTGGGTGAACAAAGTCCAGCCGAGTGCGCACATGTCTGTTAAGGAAAAGATCGGCTGGTGATTGCCCTGTAGTGCAGTTCGGAGTAGTGCGATACTGCATTAAAAACAGT